CTGGTCTTGAACTCCAGAGCTCAAGCAATCCACCCACCTCAGCCTCCCAGAGTGCTAGGGTTACAGGTATGAGCCACCGCCCTGGCCAATATTTTTCAGTCACAACCATTCATTAATCCTTCTGTATTTTCATTAGGTCTCTAAAAAGATTAAGCAAAATTTGTCAAGCATTTTTCACCTGGATCAAATTTCTAATTCTTTTCAGTGATTGTGACATTAAAAATAAAACATCAGAGACAACATATTCTCTTATTATTACGTGAGTGTTTAACCTACAGATTATGATAGCCCATCCTTAGTGCAATCTAATTAAAAATCAATACTACTGGGCGCTACCTGTGGCTCAAAGGAGTAGGGTGCCGGCCCCATATGCCAGAGGTGGCAGGTTCAAACCCAGCCTCAGCCAAAAAAAAAATAGACAATACTACTTATGCAACCATGGGTCATTTTAAACTTGATCCTAAATATACTATTTCCATCACAAAATGGATAGTTGCCACCCACCATTATTGCCTGATGGGTTTGAAAGTACTCAGCTCATGAGGAGCAGCTTTGATCAAACAGCTGCAGATAAATGGTCAGCCTCTCAGTCTTAAGACCATTGCAGTTCTAGTATGCCTAGAACTGCTCTTTAAACAGTGACTGGTTCTCTGCTGCTGATGGTGTGGCCTTGCTCAAGAACCCCCAGAAACTGGGCTGTGACTCTCCTGATGTAGCTTGCTGGAGATTCCACAAAGAACCATGGACTATGCTAGGTTATTGTATTAGTTATCTATTATTGGATAACAAATTATCTCCTAATTTATCAGCTTCAAACATTAGTAAGCATTTTATACAGTTTATGTAGGCCAGAAATCTGGAAGTAGCAGAACTGGGTGGTTTTGGTTTGAGGTTTCACTGACTTAAGTGAAGCTTTCAGCCAGGGCCGTGGTCATCTGAAGGTTTAACTGGGTCTGAAGCACCTGCTTTCATAGTTATTGGCAGAAGGCCTTGCCCCTCCCTGGCTTTTGAAAAGAGGCCTCAGTTCCTCAAAATCTAGACCTCCTGGAGGACTGTTTGAGTGACATTATGACATGGCGCTGGATTCCCCCAAAATAAGGGATCCAAGAGGGAGCAAAAGTGGTGCCAAAAGTAATCCCCAAAAATACAATGCCAAATGTTGAGATCCCAGAAGATCAGGATCCCTAAAGTCTAAAATCCTTGACATCTAAAATCCTGAAAACCACAATGAGTGCATTTTGGTTATATTCAGGATAGCTGTGTTGCATCAGTTGTACCAGGTTAGGTGGAACTATTACCTACTTATTGTCTTTATTTTGAAATTAAGTGTGGTGTAGGAATATGTGTACAGATGCCAGTCTGACAAGGGGTGAATCTGTGGATTTCATTTTAGGTGTCAATTAAATTGGAAGAAGGAATATTTGGAAAGCTGGGAAAGCCTTATTTGGGGCGTGTCTGTGAGAGTTTCCAGAGTAGATTAGTGTGTGAGTCTGTGAGGACTAGACGGGACAGAGCCGCCCCTCAGTGGTTCAGTATTTCAGAGGTATAGAAGAAGTGAAAGTGCAAGAAATCTCCCAGCCAAAAGTTTCAATTCTACACTCCTGCTGCCTCGCCTGCATACCACCAGATATATTTTCTGATTTGCCTTCAGAAAATCTCCCTTCTTCAGAGAACAAAAAGAATTTGACAAGCTCAGAAACAGTCAGAACCAAAGACACTGCTGACATAACATTTCCTCCTGTGTTTTCAAAACACATCAAACAGTGAACTGCTTTGGGTTGAGATCTACTGTTGAAGATCCGCTTTGTATATTTACCACTAAATCTGGCATAGCAGAACTAGCACATGCTTCACTTCATCTGATGGACGGCACTTACAAAACCGCCTCTGCTGGTTGTTGTCAACTATAAATCCATGCCCTTGTTGGATCTAAAAATTTGAGAACTTACCTGTTCATTTGTGTATGAATGACTCAGAAAAGTGAAGCATTTTATAAACGCTTATTTGAAGACTTAGTGGACTTTGGAGAAGAAAATGGAATCCATTTTCAACTGAATCACCAAACCAGAATGACAGATATGGAAATAAATGCAACCCAGGCTTCTAAACATGGATTTCAAATCATTGCCAATAAACTTTGGCTTTTCCATTGACCCAATGTTTTTGGCAAAAAAAAAAAAAAAAAAAAAAATTCAGATGAATGGATTGGCCATACAATACAGCAGTGACAAAAACCTTCAGTTTAAAAATTGATCTGTATTGGCATTCCTTCCAGCTGTAGAATTCCAGGAGCTTTTAATGAATGGAAGCTGCATCTGCCTGGAAGAAGCCAGGAAGGTTACTGACTGGATTGAAAATAAATATACGTGTGGTAGGACAAGAAAACACCCAGGCAAAAGAATGGCTCAGCCATCACCGTGTTGTTTCCACAGTACGGCGATCTGTGAGTGCACGAGGAATGAATTTCCAAGTACTCAAAACAGCCAAGCCGCACATGGCAGAAACTGGGAAGATTTAATAGGGAATGCTGAAGTCGGTGTATATAGAATCATAAAATTTAATAAGGAATGCAAATGTTGATGTATATAAAAGATTTTTTATAAGAGCAGCATCGCCTAGAAATGAACGTGACTTTGTTCTCCAAAGAGAACCATGTCTTAAGAACAAAGCAGTTATTTATGGAGATGTAATGCTTCAGAGTATAATTAATATATAATGCTTCAGAATATAATGACTGTGGAAGTTGGCCAACTCTTAGAGACTGCTTCTGTGCAACTGGCTATAATCTATCCTCCTAGTACACTTTCTCAGTGTCAAATTTTCTTTTCTTTCCATTCGTTTAAATTGTCAGCATTACTTTTTCACAATTTGTGTTTCAAATACTGGAAGTTTACATGGTGTAAAGACTTTTGGAGTTCTAATTTGTTTTATGCATTTTCTGTGAATGTGGCTTCAGGAGAGTGCATTACCACAGCATTGCCTTTGTGTGTAAATGTTGTACGTACACATAGAGATGTTCCTCAGTAAATGAAGAGCTATCCTTTGTGTTCGTGTGCATTTGTGAGAGAGAAAATTTCTCAAGATCTTAGCTCTTTGGGCCACTGTGTATACAAGTGGTGTCCCTTTGTGGTTTTTAATCCATCTCATCAAAAGACTTAAGTTGTCCATCACGCTATTTCAGATGACTATGGTCATAAAGCTGGATTCATGCGATTATTATACCAACCATACTGATAGGTGTTTAGACATTCTGTTTTCTGACCTATTTTTTATAGTTTGCTCATAACAGTGACATCTACATGACTGTCATTAGTGTACCTGAATTTGTTTGCAAAAATGTGTTATTATTGCCAGTTTTACTGTGTAAAGAGGCTTATGACGTGTCATGTTTTTATGTTTCTCAAATGCATCTCCTTTTAAGAATGTAAATAAATGTCTTTTATAGAGTTTTTAAAATTAATTTTTTCCCCAGAGTTCCACTTTCAGAATTGTGTCTTTAAGTGTATGTCTTGATTCTTTCTATCATCTGATCATATACAATCACTATTGCCTCGATATCAGCCACTCACCCACATGGATACCTAAATCTTTGCTTTTACTTTACTTAGGCTGGGATCTTCTGCCAGGAACCATACTTGAATTTTTAGGCTGTTGTGTGTTGACTCACAGGTGAATGACAGCTATAGGTTCTTGGTGTCAATTACTACTTCTTCTGGGCTTTTGTATCTTGCCTGTTTTGATTCCAGTACACTTCTATAGCATGTCTGTTTTCTAAATACCATCAGACACAGTGAAATGTCACTGCCCCATTTGTAAGTTTGTATCTATCTCCTCAATTGGGAAAAACCAGTAAGGAGTTTGAGTTACCTTAAATGACCCATTTTGGCACTCAGCACCAGACAGCTGCTAAAAGCATTTTGTGTTTCTCTTTTCCCTAGAAGCAGGTTTCTGACTAGGCCAAATCTAGATTGTTAGCCTACACCCAAACCTGGCACACGTTTCCAGTGATGAGAATAAAAAACAGTACATTGGAGGGCGGCACCTGTGGCTCAAGGTGTGGGCCACCAGCCCCCGATACCAGGGATGGTGGGTTCAAGCCTGGCCCCAGCCAAAACTGCAAAAAAAACCCCCAAACAACAATAGTACATCGTGTTATGTGTGTATGTGTGTGTGTATAGCAGTGAGATTGACATAGTAGCTTTATTGCTACTAGCGACAACACGGATGCATCTTACAATGTTGCAAATCAAAAGCCAGACACAAAATATTCTTCTATGACTTCATTTATATGCCTTTCGAAACCAGACACAATTAATTTATGGTCTAGAAATCAGGACAATGATTACTTTGGAAGGTAGGTGGTGACTGGTAACAAAAGGAATGAAGGAGGCTTTTAGAGTCCTGGGAATGTTCTGTTTCTTGATCTAGGATGCCGGTCAAATGAACATATTCATATTTTGAAAATTTGTTGAGCTGGACACTTAGGACTTGTATACATTTCTATATACACGTTTTACTTTAGTAACAACTTTATGTTAAAATATCTAAAATGTAAAAATTATTTTTCATTATTGGTGTTCCTGTTTATAGTTAAATTTTTCAAATAAGATCATAATATATAATATAAGCCCCTAAGCCCTTATAGTGATAATATAAATTTCCTAAGCCACAGGGATTTTTTTTTTTTTGAGACAGAGTCTTACTATGTTGCCCTCAGTAGAGTGCAATGGCATCACAACTCACAGCAACCTGAAACTCTTGGGCTTAAGTGATTCTCTTGCCTCAGCCTCCCAAGTAGCTGGGCCTACAAGGTGCCTGCCACCACAATGCCCCACTATTTTCTTTTATTGTAGTTGTTACTGTTGTTCCTGGGCTTGGACTGGGTTTGAACCCACTAGCCTGGGTGTATGTGGCTGGCATCCTAGCTGCTGAGCTACAGGCGCCGAGCCAACCGCAGGGAATTTTAATATACACCTGAAAACCACTAGAAACACCAAGGATCATCTGAGTTTAATTGTGAGCATTTGAGTGGGTTTTGTGCCCTTCTCTTCCAGGTACTTTTCCTCTCGCGTCGGAACTGTATCCCAGTTCAGAGAGGTAATCACCATCACTGATCGCTTCAGGGACCTGACAAAAACAGCATCTTCTGGATTGTCAAACACAGTTCTGCAAAAACAATGACATCCTGATTAACAGAATTACAGCAATTCCATCAGAGAAAAATAAACTTGACCAAAATAAAATTTTCATTTTTATGAACATATGCCACATGTTTCTCTGTAATTTGTGGCGCAGTACCACTAACAAGTACTTTGCCGTGTGTGTGTGTGTGTGTGTTAAGAACTTTGGGGGCTCTACTGACAAATGACTTTTGTGCTAACTGACACTATTTTTATTGTATATCTTGGTTATTTTAAAAATAATGTATCTGAACATATTTGGGGTTAGCTATTACAGTGTGGGTCTCATACACCCATGCAGTCCCGTGTTAAAACCAAGTTAATCGACATGATTATAATATTTATAGATACACTCGGCATTTTAGTACAGTTATTTCTCTCTATAAGGCTATATTTCAGCAATATGTTTGTGTGGGGATATTATTAAACACTGCATCCAAAGAAAAACTTAAGTGCAAAAATAAAAATGAAAATCATTTGAATTCATAAATATTCATGAATTTGAAATGTCTTCTGTAATATTAATGAAGTATTTGCTTTTGAAAATGTAAATTCTGGTGAATATAAAACGTTAATCTGCGTAATTGCTTTCACTGAATACATTTAGAGGAGAAGTAAACAAGGAAGGTGAAGCCCCTTATTTGGAATAGTTCATAATTAAGCATTACATTTTTTAAGCATTAAATTGCCTTTTCATTTATTTGGGGTTTTTAATAATAATATTAAAAACTTAAATATGTCAGAGAGTAATACATAGCTTGAACTCATTTATCACAGAAAGATTCATCCTTTTTTTCCCAGCTAATATAGAACTGATAATTTATTTTATTAAAATCTATTTTACAAAATGACTGTAACTTAGTGGGATAACACAATTATGAAATCTAATAATGAAAGTAAAAATTTAAAAAATCACTTACTTGTCTACATTATCCGCAAAAGCAAAATCTAAAAAAAAAATACATTTTAAAATTAGTATCTTCAAATGTTTACTTGGCATTTAAAAACAATGGAACAATTCTATAAAGGCCAAGTCTAAGGCATAGCTTTCTCTTTTCAGGCCATCCTTTACATTAGGTTCTATCAATCTATCAAAAATGCCTTTTTTTAAACCTAACTCAAAACTAAAATTTTCTCTTATATATAGTGGGTTTTGCCTTAGGTTTTGAGGCAAATTCTTTAATACAAACCTCAAAACCTTGAGAACAGAATAGTCGATTTATAATTTATCAGTAGAATCCAAATGAGAGATTTTATAATTAAGACATGGAGACGCATTGGTAGAAACTGATCTTTTTTCTTCTGGGCTGATAGTATAAATGAAGAGAAACATTTAGAGGTACTTCAACCATTTGCATTCTTGGCATTAACTTCAAAGAAACAGAATAAATAAATCCTAGATCATAAGAATCTTTATCTTTCCTAGCTTTGGAGCTCAAAGACTAGCACCCAAAGCCTGGATCTCCTCTGGTGTCTTCCAGAGATTGTCACTGCTTTATTTATTTCTCTCCCGAAGGCCTATCCCAGGCTAGAGATGGAATGTGCCTGCAGCTGTTGGGCCACTGAAGTCCACAATATGTGCTCTTGCCAACCCTCAAGCAGCAGAAAGCTGCTCTAGGAGAGTCCATGGCACTGGTCCCTTCACAAGTGCTGACGGAAGTCTCCCCTGCCTTTCCGATCATCACAAACTTTCCTTTTCTACTCTCCCCCCAGCTTTATTGAGTTGACAAATAAAAATTGTATATATTTCAGGTGCGTACACCTGGATATTTTGAAACATGTATGCATTATGAAATAATCGCCACACTCAATGTAATTAGTGTATCTATCACCACACGTAGTTACCATTTGCTTTTTCCTGTGTGTTTGGGTTTGCTTGTGTTAAGAACATTTAAAATCTATCTTCTTAGTAAATTTCAGGTATACTAATTTTGTTGTTGTTGTTTGTTTGTTTTCTTGAAACAGTCTCCCTTTGTGTCCTAGGCTAGAGTGTCATGGCATCAGCCTACCTTACAGCAACCTCAAACTCCTGGGTTGGAGCAATCTTCCTACCTCAGCCTCCCAAGTAGCTGGGTCTAGAGACATCTACCACATTGCCCAGATACATTTTTCAATGATTAGTAGAGATGGAGTTTCACTCTTGCTCAGTCTGTTCTCCCATTCCTGAGCTCAAGGGATCATCCCACTTCTGCCTCCCAGAGTCTTAGGTTTACAGGTCCTAAGCCTGGCCCAGTATTGTTAACTATAGCCACATCACATTTGATTTGGTAACTGAAACTTTGTACCCTCACCCCAACATCTTCCCATCTCCCCTTCCCCACTGCCCCTAGCAGCCATCGTTCTATTCTCTGCTTCTATGAGTTTGACTAATTTAGAGTCCATTGATCAGTGAGATCATGCAGAATTTGTCCTGTCTGTTTTATTTCCCTTGGCCTAACGTCCTCTAGGTTCATCCATATTGACATAAATGGCAGGAATTCCCTGTTTTCTTTGACATTTTTAATTACAAAGAACACATAAATTCCTTATAAAAAATATAAACAATAAAAAGTGAAAACTCTTTTTTACTTATTAATGGAGCCTAAATATATACACAAGTTCACTCACACATACATGTGTATATACACAGAGATTTGTTTGTTTATAAAAGTTCTAATTTTGTTGTTACTCATATGACCTTGCAACGTGTTTTTAATATCCCAATTATACCAGGGGACAATTCTATAATGAAATGGTGTGTATTACACAAGTGTTCTATGATTAACATTCCCCTGTGAATGACTGTTTAGATTGGTTCAACTACTTTTGCTATCATTCAAAACATTGCAAATGAAGCAGCCTTATAGACATCTATATTTTTCTTTGTCTATGTGTGCAAGCACTTCTGTAGGAGAGGGACATCAAATTGAGTTGCTATGGGAAATGGTTTGCACATTGTATATATTGATAGATACTGCCATATGGCCTTCTGAGGGAGCTGAACCCATCAATTAACCTGAAGCTCTTTCTGATCCCATGTGAGATCTCATCTGACATAATGATTTTCCTCTTCTGCTCTGATGTCAGACACATTTTTTCTGCCTCTCATTCTATGACAAGAGGTTGGTGATAATGCTGAGTACATTCTTTGACCCTCAAACACACTGATTATAGGAAGAAATAGCCTGTTCGATTTGAAATTCAGGAAGATATAGCCTGTTCGATTCAGAAATTCGGTTAAACAAAAGAAAGGTAAAGCTCTACAGGTGGTCATCAGCTCTCCCCTTACACCTATAATAATTACAGCACTGAAAACCAGATTTGGGGAGGCCTTGCTTTGCTTGTTACTGTGGGCGTGCAGAGCTGTTTTTTAGAGGGGAGGTTTTCTAGAGATTTCTTTCCTACACAGTATGGCTCACTCCCACTAACCTGATAACCTTCTCTTCAGGCCATCCCTTCTTACACAAAGTGAAAGAAAGATCAGGGAAACTGCTGACCAATACATAGAATAGATCCACTTACACAACTGATGTGCCAGATCAAGTGTCTCCACTTTTACATATTAAGTAAGTATCACAATACAGTGAGATATATTTGCTATAAAAAATCGGCAAGCCAAAGTGAATTAATACCCACAATAAAATCTTTAATTATTAGCAAAGCCAATCCTCAAAGCCCAAGAGTTTACTCCCAAGCTGGCCTCTCCCCTCTCCAGGGTAAGTTCTCTAACGAATGTGAATCAGAATCACATGAAAGGCTTGTTACAACACAGCTTCAGGGTCCCACCCTTAAGTTTCTAAAAATGTGATGTGAGGCAAGAATTTGCATTTGTAACACGGTCCTAAGGTATGCGGCTCCTGGGGACCAAGAGCCCTCCTCTGCTACTCTGTGCCATGCTCTTCCGCATCCACGTGTCCTGCAGACATTGCTTCCGGTTCCACAGGAAGCGGAATGGATAAGGGCGCAAATCTGGCAACACGTGGAGGAGCCAATCATAGAAACTAAGACCTTCTACAACGTAACCAGCTTAGTCCCTTCAAAATATCACGGGAAAAAATGGAGGAATCCGCTCTAAATTGAAAAACACTGAAGAGATAGAACAACCAAATGTAGCTGTGAACCTTGACTGGATTCTAATTTGAAAAAGCAGCTATAGAAAGCTTCTCGGAAGTATTGGGAAATGGTGAATATGGATTCTACATTAAATAATATTAATTAATTGGGTTTCTGAGGTGGGAGAGTGGCATTGTGGCAATACCACGTACAAGGCAATGTTTTTTTAAACTTGCAAGCTAAATTATTGAGGCGCATGAAAGTTACAGACACCGGGATGAAACCATTCTTGTCAGATTCGAACAAATTGGAGCCGGGAAGACACGAAGGAGAAGAGCTCATGCTTGCGTGTCTGAGATAAGGACTGTCTCAAGGACATTCTAAAATAACTCTCCAAGAAATTCCTTCACGTCCTCCACGTAGCGCCTGCTTTTCACGACCTGTGTTTTGCACGTATGCACATATTTCCACGACCAGGCTCATCACTAGACGTCCTTTAGGACTGCAGCAATTCAGATAAAATGCTCCCAAAAGAACACTCGGCTTGCAAAGGCGTCTCTACCAGTGGACTGACACCAACATCAGCTTCGAGCCTGCGGAACCAATGAACTCTTTGTCTAAGCGGTTTATGTAAACATTTCCTTTCGGCCAAATAAAAGCTTCTTTTTACCTTCTTCCATTTGGGTGCACTTGCAACTTGGCACAACTGGGTATTTCAGATTATAATTCTTTTTGCTTACTCCCAAATAAATTAATTCTATTAAGAGATCTTTTTTCCTGATTTCTTTATTTATGTTGACAGGCATGAAGTGTCATGTCTGGTATGGAAACATTTAAATGGTCCAGCAAGATATTGATGTTTTCCAGTTTACATTGTAGTTGGCGATGACCGCGGAAGTGTAAGGAGATGCTTGCAAGAAGGCACGTTCTTCCTGAATAAAACGGCAAGGCCTCATACCTGGAAGCTGGTGAAAATGGTAGGATATTAACAATTATTGAATAAACACGGGCATATATCTTGAACTTTTTCTGTTAGAAAATTTTCACAATAAAAAGTTAGGGGAAAACTCTTAATTTTGCCCTCATTTTTCCTTTTGTTTTTCTTCCCCTCTGGCTTATTCTTGAATTATAATTACTTGATTATAAAATTCTTGGTTGATGATTACTTTTCCTGAGCATTTTAAAAGCATTAGATCAATGCCTTCCATGATTACAGTTAGGGAGTTTGCTGTGAATCTATATATTATTCTTTGTAGATAACCTGCATTTTTCTCTGCATGCTTTAAGATTGTTTTGCCTTTGTTGACTTTTCTATTTATTTTTTTGGCTTTTGTGTCTTTTATGTCTTTGGATTCCTTTTGTCCAGGGAATATAAAGGTTCATATAACTTATCAATTCAGGAAAATCCCTATTATCACTTGAAAAATTGCCTTCTTGCTCAATTTCTCTTTATAATTTTTTCCTTCAAGAATTACTATAAAGGTCTTCTCTTTCTTGTTGCCTCCTTGTCTTAACATCTAATTAGTATCATTTCTTTGTTTCCCTGTGTTGCTTCTGGGTAAGTTCTTCCAAACTATTTTGGTTTTTTAAAAAAGTAATTTTTATTTCAAAATATGAGGATGTGTAAGTGTTCTTGTATAATGCTGAAGTCAGAGTTTTAGTATGCCCATCACCATAGTAGCATACATTGTACCTGATAGGTAAGTTTTTATGCCTCACCCCCTCCCATCTTCCTCCCTTCTTAGTTCCTAATGGCCTGTATATTACAGGCCATTAGAACATATGTCCCTATCATTTAGCTCCCACTTGTTAGTGAGAACATGTGGTCTTTGTTTCTCCATTCCTGAGAAACTTCATTTAGAGTAATGTTCTCCAGTACCATCCAAGTTGATGTAGACGATTCTATTTCATTTGCTGAATAAGGCATTCTTTCCCCAGGTTATGTTTTAGGCTGATTTGTCAAAAATCAGTTGGTTGTAACCATGGGGTTTTATTTCTAGGTTCTCTATTCTGTTACATCTGTCTGTGTATCTACCTTTATACCTATTTTGGTAATTATAGTCTTGAAGTATGATTTGAAGTCAGGTAATGTGATGCCTCCAGATTTGCTCTTTTTTACTTAAGATTGCTTTGGTTATTTAGGCTCTTTTCTGGCACTTTATGAAGTTTAGGATTATTTTCTAGATCTATTAAAAATGATGAGAATCTATAAATATTTTGATGGGAATTGCACTGAATCTGTAAATCACTTTGGGCTATATGGACAAGAATGTTGATTCTTCCAATCCATAGCACGAGATGTTTTTCCATTTCTTTGGATCACCTATGATTTTTTTCATCGATGTTTTTTATAGTACTTTTTAGTTCACCCCTGGGTTAAGTATTTTCCTTGATACTTTATTTTCTTTGCAGCTATAGTAAATGGTAATGTGTTCTTGATACTTGTGTACTTTGGGCACGACTATCTACAAGATCATATCATCAGCAAATGAGGATAGTTTAACTTTCTCTTCCCTGATTTGCATGCCCTTTATTTCTTTCTCTTTCCTGATTGCTCTGGCTAGGACTTCCATTTACATTGATAGACATGGTGCGAGCAGGCACTCTTGTGTAGTTCCAGTTCTTAGAAGGAATGCTTTGAACTTTTCCCCATTCAGCATAAAGTTGGCTTTGGGTTTATCAGATATATAACTTTTATTATTTTGAGGTGTGTTCCTTCTATCCTTAGTTTGTCAAGGGTTTTTATCAGGAAGGGATGCTGGATTTATCAAATGCTTTTTTCTGCATCTACTGAGATGATCATATATTTTTTTTAATTTTTGTTTGTATATTGAATTATATTTATTCATTTGTATTTGTTGAACAACCCTTGCATCCTTAGGATGGAACCTATTTGATCATGATGGATTTTTTGTCTTATGTATTGTTGAATTCAGTTTGCTGGCATTCTGTTGAGGATATTTGCATCTATATTCATAAGGGATATTGGTCTGCAGTTTTCCTTTATTGTTGTATTCTTTCCTGGTTTGGGTATCAGGATACCCAAAATGAGAATTCCTTCCTTCTCAATGCTATGGAACAGTTTCAGTAGAATGGGTGCCATTTCTTTGTAGGTCTGGTAGAATTTCACTGTGAATTTGTCTGGATTCTTTAGTTAGAAGATAGTTTTCTTACAATCTTACAACTCATTATTGGTCTGTTCAGGATTTCTATTTCTTCCTAATTCAGGCTTGGGAGATTGTGAGTTTCCAAGAATTTATCCATTTCCTTCTGGTTTTCTAGTTTGTTACACAGATGTTTTGAGAGTCATAAAGGATGATACCATTTTGTATTTCTGTGGAATCAGTTTTAATGTCTTCTATTCATTTCTGAATGAGCTTATTTGAGTCTGTCTATTGATTTTGTTTATCTTTTCAAAGACCCAACTTTTTGTTTCATTGATGTTTTGTATTTTTTTAAAATTTCCTTTTCATTTAGTTCTGCTCTGAACCTTATTATTTCTTTCTTTCTGCTAGCTTTGGGTATGGTTTGTTCTATTTCTTTTTTCTTTTCTTTTTTTTTTTTTTTTAGTTCCTTGAAGTGTGACATTGGGGTTGTTAATTTGTGATCTCTTTGTCTTTTTGATGAAAGTATTTAAAGCTATGAACTTTCCCCTAGGGCTGCTTTTACTATATCCCATAGATTTTGGAAGCTTGCATTGCCTTTGTTATTCAATTAGAAAAATTTCTTGATTTCCATCTTGATTCAACAATAATCCAAGAATCATTTAGCAGCAAAATGGTTAATTTCCTTGTATTCATGAAGTTTTGAGAGTTTCTCTTGTAATTGATTTCTAGTTTTATTCCTCTGTGGTCTAAGAAGATATATGGTATGACTTCACTTTTTCTAAGTTTGCTGAGACTTGTTTTGTGGCCTAATATGTTTTCTCACTTGAAAAACGTCCCCTGTGATGATGAGAAGAATATATATTCTGCAGTTTGGGGATAGAATGTTCTATGAATGTCTATTAGTCCACTTGTTCTATAGTCTCATTTAAGTACAGTATGCGTTTCTTGATCTTTTGCCTTAATGATCTATCATTTTTCAATCTAATTACTTTTTCCCTTTAATTTCTAGAAATTCGTTAAGTTGCTTTAAAATGTATTTTGTCCTTTTGGCAGGATGTCATCAAGGAAAAGGATTTTGTTTTTGCACCTTTCTACATCCACCCTTTCTTCCTTTCTAGAGTAGAGACATGATGGCTGGTGGTATTGCAGCTACCTTGTAACCATAAAGCACATTCAGAATAGCGGAACAAAACACAGATGTATACGTGAACACTGATGACACCATCTTTACACTAACCCTAGATGCCCTATCTTTGTACTCTTCGCTACATGAGAAAAATAAATCCCTATTTGTTTGCATTTATGTTACATATAAGAAATTAAATACTAATGAAATATCACTAAAAGTATTCAAGTTATATTTGCTTGTAATGACTATATGTATGAGTATAATCAGAATATTCACAGTGCTTTTTTCTGGGTAGTAGGATTGCAAATGATCTTTATTTTTTCTGTCTATGTTTTCTAGACTATCAAATACTTTTAGCATTAATTTGTAATACTATTCTCTGTCAGTGGTAATAAAAATAACTATAGCTTATTTATAGAGCTCTTTATATTGTGTTAGATACTGAGGGGGAGGCTTGAGTGTTTTGTCTCATTGTTATCACATTACCTCATTTAATTTAATATACATGAATGAAGATGAAAATTGTATCATGACTTTAACTAGACTAATAGAATTATAAAATTAAAATATATAGCATTGGAAAATAATTAGAAATCATTTCACTGCATGGATACCTACTTTACTGTAAATTATAGTTATTATTATAAACAAATTACCCAAAAGTTTGAGGAGTTTTAATTTCATTTTTCCCCCCCAGATACCTGAAGGTACTGGATGGGATGGCTTTTGCTTAAATGGTGATCTAGGATCCCAGGAAGCATCTATTTTTCTTCCAAATGCCATTGATTGAATGACATGTGCTTTATTATGGTTAAAAAAAGGAATCACTGATCTTCTTTCTTTTTCTGTAACATCTATGAAATGTAAAAAATAATGTTATTGCCTAGCATTATGAGCAAATATGCAGAGTGATTCAAAATAGAACCTAACACTTCAAAAATATATTCATCTAAACTACGTTATATGTCAAGTACCTGTTGAAACAGATTTGTGAAGGGGCGATTACAGTTATTTCCATAATCTTACAAGAGTTTAACATCTGCCCACATATTGCAAGGCAGAGCTCAATCCTAAAGCCTGCTGCATCCCAGACACCCAGAGGGTGTTCACCCTTTTTTCTTTTCTACCACATATTGGAAAAATAAGAGTTGTCTTGGGCCACACATTAAATACACAAACACTAACCAAAGCTGATGAGCAGAAAAAAAAAAGGTCCATGCATTTTTTTGTGACATCCTATACCACAGATAAGCAAAACAGTCCTCAAATAATCTGCATGCAGCGCAAGGGCCACAGGTTGGACACCCCTGCATGGGCGACTGAAGTTGCAGCATGATAAAGCTGTTTCATCAAGGCTATCAAAAGGGAGAACTATGGCCATAACGTTTTGATATATCCTCATACAAAACAGTTCCTCAGTAAGAAATTAATAAGAATGTTCCAACCTATAGAGATAGATAAGTGGATGGTGAGATAATCTAGCACTTGGAGTAAAAGAGATCTCAAAAAATGAAAAATGTGATGAGGTTAATTGTGGGTATTTGGGGGTTATGGTTTATGTAAATCAGACGTGCCACTTTATCCTCAGTGTCTGAAGACACATTCATAAAAAAGTTATTGATTGTATCATTTTTGATATATATAGTTAAGAATTTCAAAGATATGACTTTTATTTTTTTTCGAGACAGAATCTTGTTTTGTTGCCCTCAGTAGTGTGTTGTGGAGTCATAGCTCATAGCAACTGCAAACTCCTGGGCTCAAGTGATCCTCTTGGCCTTAGCCTCCCAAGTAGCTGGGACTACAGATGCCCTCCACAACACCCAGCTATTTTTAGAGATGGTGTCTGGCTCTTGCTCAGGCTGGTCTCAAACTCATGAGCTCAGGCAATCTACCTGCCTCAGCCTCTGAGTGCTAGCATGACAGCTGTGAGCCACCACACCTGGCCAGAGTATGACTTTTAGAACTTAAATAGGTCTTATGAGATTTCATCCAATTCCTTTATTTCTGAGATAAGAAACTAAAAGGTCCAGGGGTAAAAGACTGGGTATCCAACATGTTAAGGTCAAAATGAGGACCAGAAGATGTGCCTTCCTCATGCATGCTTGAAGGATCTTTCCAATAAGGTGGTAAAGAGACATGAATTCCTAAATTAGGACAAATTTTCAAACATAAATAATTAAAAATCTTTCATTTACGAAGAGCTGTAAGATTGCTTCTGAAATAATTTCTTTGTAAGAAAGAGGTGTGCTTACACTTTCGGTCAAACATCTCCACTGCTGGAAGGTGGTAGATCACATATAAACGGTACATGTTATAGTGACACAAAGGGTTTTGGTACAGAGCTACAAAGGAAAAATAAAATGTCATATTTCAAAATGAGTCTTATTCATCACTTGATAAAATATGACTCATTACAGGATTCCTATAAAACATAAGAACATAGAAAGCTCTGCTTCATAGCAAGGCAATAGATTCATTAAACATTTACTTATTCAGAGCAACTATTAACTTTCCCATCTGTGAAATTCATTCATTCAACAAATATTTACTGAGTACTTACTATCTACTAGGAACTATGCTAGATGCAAGGGTTATATTGTTGACCCAAATCTGTCACTAAGGAGGAGCATTTTAACATGTCCATAAGTAGATTAGTAAAGGAAGAACTCAGCTCCATGGAATTTTTCTTTTCTGATTTTTTTTTTTTTTTTTGAGACAGAGTCTCACTATGTAGCCCTTGGTAGAGTACCGTGGTGTCACAGCTCACAGCAACCTCAAACTCTTGGGCTTAAGCGATTCTCATGCCTCAGCCTCTCAAGTAGCTGGGACTACAGGTGCCCGCCACAACGCCTGGCTATTATTTTGTTGTAGTTTGTTGTTTGGCAGGCCTGGGCTGGGTTCAAACCCTCTAGCTCCCGTGTATGTAGCTGGCACCCTAGCCGCTGAGCCAGCTCCAGGGAATTCTTGAGGCTACTTTGTATTAAAGCATTTCTTGGTACTCTTTTAATTTTGAAGGTCACAAGGGTGACTCTGTGGAACTCCACAGAGATGTAGCAACATATTCTAATGGAATTTTCTTCCTCCACTTCGCACCATTGCTCATAGTTCAGAAAATGTGAATGCCACTGGCAGCCTCAGATCTCAGCAGGAGCACAGCCAGCAGATGTGGATCTTAAGTCCCATCTCCTTCTGGCCAGGCACAGGCAGCTCTGAGACCTGATGTGCAGGGACTAGAATACATTACGAACCACACTCCCTAATACTGTGGCTGGAGGAGGGAGGCACGCAGATGCAGAAGAGCTCCTGGCATTTCTGCCATCACATCCCTTGGCAATCAGCGCGGAGGTATTTTTTTTTTTTAATCTTCAACTAGAAGTTGTGAGGGTTTTATTTTCAAGGAAAAAGTAAAATATTTTTTTCTATTCATCTTAGATGACAACAAACAGGTCATTTCAATACAATGTGAAATAAAACTTGTATGATTTTCATGTGGGTAACTGTTAGCTATTCAGATTCTAACCTACATGCAATTTGTAGGAAATACTTCTGAAAAATACACACAGTGAAGAGAGCCACTAGATGGCAGTAGTAGAAAGAGCTAGTGCACCCAACATGCTGAGGCTCATTAATGAGCTTGTTAAATTTAAGAGTACTGCTCTCCTCATAAAACACAAAAGGGTTTGATAAAGTCATGAAAACGTTAAACATTAGGATCCCAGAAAAAAGATTAATATTTATAATGAGCAGTTCACAACAGAAAGAAGATTGGGATCAGAGCCTGCTTGAAAGACAACTATTTAGATAAAAACTCAAAAAGCCATTCGTTAGGATGTTTCTCTCTAGGTAATAAAACACCCTGATATTTTTTGCATAAACACAAATTTTTCTGGCTAATAAAATCGTTATATATAGCTCTTCCCTGTGGAAAACATGAGCTTTAGAGGGACATAAAGCAAGCCATGGAAGACACCTGGTGGATAATAAACAAAAATTATGTGTAAGGAGAGGCATAAAAAATGTAGAGCCAAGAGTAACCCCGAAATTTACAGAAAGGAAATATGTGTGTCTTGGGGAAAATGAGAAGAAAAATAAAACATATTTTTTAAAAAAAATTTAAATGACAAAGATATTGTTTGAATTTTATCCTTAAAAGATATCTAGAGTAGTAACAAATAATTTTGAGTATAGGATAGAGTGTATGACATATATGTTTATATATAAGTAAGAAGGACATATTTTTAAAAAATCCATAGAGATCATGAATTGTAGTTTGAACCAGAGAAAATAAAGAAAAGGATACCATTCAAGGGCATAAAAGCAAAACACAATTGTTTTGGGTAAGAACGCAGGAGGAAGAAAAAGTCACAAGTGCTTTAGTGCAGAAGTCTGCCTTGTGGTGACTGCCGTGGAGAATCACAGCTGACGCCTCCTAACCCCCTAGCGCATTATGGCAGCAGAAAGTGGAGTCCACTTTAACATACGAGATGCTAATGAAAAAAGTACCAGCATCGTTCAATGACGTCTTCTCTCCGTGTACTCTGTACTCTCCTTCCCCTCTGGGAACATTCCTATTCATTTCTTTTCTTTTTTTGGCTTTTTCTCCTAACACTTGGGTAAATAATTTCTCTATGTAAATTAAAAAGCTAGCTGCAGCTAAACAAAACATCAAACTTGGATTTACTACTATTACCCTACATTCCTCATTAGCGAGGTTTCCCAGTACTGAAAACTCTATGTATTTGTTGTCACTGACCATGCTTCTCACCCGAAAGTGAAATCTGAGGGACAGCAAGTCAGCAAACTGAGCTGTTACCAAGAAGGAATTGAATTAGCTTGAAAGGTATGTCATCGTTATCATTCTTCACTGTTTCATAGCCCTTAAGTTTTAGAAGGAAGGAATCTTTTTTTCAACTTTCTTTTTTCCTCCTTCTCTATCATCAAACATTTAACAGTTTGGATTTATGAGTTCTGGATTGATGCTCCTAAAATTACCATAAATTAGATTTCTAAGATATGAAATCAGTTTCCTGTGTCTGAATGTTCTGAAAGCCTCCTGTGATGTATGGGCACATTCCTTTAGAAACTATGAAGTGGAATTGCTTACACTTTCACTTTCAATAGGTTAATACTATTTAATCCACCTTCCCTCCAGGCTACTTACAGAGTACACCGCTGTGGCGCCAGCACTGTCTTGCTTATCTTAATTTGGGATTCTGGGTTTAGGCAATTTACATTTACCCAGTGTTACAGCAAAATGTCTCTACTACCTTACTGCACTAGCTCAAGTTACATGAGTCACATGTATGAAGGTAGCTGTTATTAAAACAGAAGAGAAAAGATTAAAAAGATACAGTCATCTAAATAATTGGCTCCAGTTAATTTTTTTAAACTTAAAGCAGAATTAAGAATGACAGTTATCAATGAATCCCAATGTTTTTAAGGCCAGCTTGGAAGAAAGCTGATGAGATTAAGGGACTAGTATACTCATTTTTAAAGGACGGGAAATGATACAGAGAGGCTAAAATCCTTTAGAGAACACCCTGGGGAAGAAAGTTCAACTGGCAATCACCAGACACCAGGATTCTGAGGTTCTGAGCGAGTCAAGGTTACTTGCTACCTTCAGCATCTTCATTATCATCACCATCTCATTTTAATGACAAATCTTTGGCCACCACACACCACATGTTTTGCTGAATTTGAAAATCACCCCTTATTGTAAAAGGCCAACTGGGATAAAACAGGGGATGAAGGGAGAAAATCAGAGCATTCGCTTGCCCAGGACAAACAAGCAGAGAAAGACGCAAGTGGTTCTTATCTGGTAGATTATTTCATTGTTTGGAAGGGATAGTCCCACCTGGAAGGGCATTACAGGTAAAGGTGCTCAAACGCGTGCGCCCTTGAGATCACAGCTGTAGCCCATCTCTCCACATCCCTCTTCGCCCCTGCGGTGAATTGGGGTCCCTGCTGATGGCAAGGGTAGAAAGCACTAACAGCACTACCTGTGGAAGCGTGGAGACCCTCTCATGAAAGGAGAAACCCCCCTGTTCCCTATGGTGACACAGGGAAGCTCTGCGAGGAAGCCGGTCTTCACAATTATGAAATGCAGGAGTATACTTTCCAATAGTGGAGCTAAATACAACATTTGAGAGAGATGAAAATGAAGGCTTAGGAACAGGAGAATGGATTAAGTATTTTGTTGTTGCTGTTGATGGTGGTGATTTTTTTCCCTTAATGCTGGAAAAAGGGGCTGGAAGACTGGAGGTTAGTGAAGGGCATCAGCCACAGACTGGATTGGCACCTGTGGATTCTGATTTAAAAGAAGTTTTGCAGAAGGGAGGGAAAGAGGAAGTCACTGGAACTGGAAAGGGTGTGGAAAGGTAGACCGCCTGGAGAGAAGAGGTGGGGCCCTCTGACTGCCTGGAAGACGGGAATTCCAATTCCCAGGACCTCACACTCTGCAGCGGGTTTAGGCCTCCCTGAAGCTCCCAGCCATGCGTCTCCCATGCAGTCCTTGGCAGTTCTCATAAATGCCAGCGGAGGATGCAATGCTCTGAGTGGATTAGAGGTTTATCCTCCAGGCTATTTTCTCACCCTCTGAAGAACTTGTAATTGAAGTGGCATAATAATAACACTTGGAGGATTTTTTTCTTTTTTGGTTTTACAACTTAAGAAGACAAAAATTACAACATTTGAAAATACTTGGATTTCTCATTTTACTTAATGAGCTGAATCTAATCTGTGATTGCAAATGAAGCTCAAAGAAACTTAATCTGAGGACATCACTTCACAAATCACATGAGTAGTCTGGGAAATGCAAACATTTTTTCCTACATAATATTCTTTAACCAAAATGAGGCATGGGTTCAAAATGTGAATGTTTGCTACCAAGAATTCTGAGAAAATGCTTTTTTTCTTTTCTGTAATTCGTCAGGTTTTTTTTTCCATTTCCAAAAAAAAAATGACCTGACAAGATTTTCAATTGTTATAATTGTAGTTATATAAGTTAAATTACATCACTATGATTTTAAGTAAAGATCATGTAAACTGTTATGCCAGGTAATGGTAAGGAGACTATATGACTAGGCTGGCCTCTGAGAACTAGAGAAAGCCTCCCTGCCCCACGAAGGCTGCCAAGTTCTGTGCTTTAGTACAGCCTTGACATGTAGGGCATGGGCTGAATTTAGGGTCCATTCATTCCTGGACAAGGCACCTTTATTTAGAGCATAACTCTGTTTGCTACCATTGGGCCAAGCTGGCTGACTACTCTCTGCACGTCATTTTATAACAAGTTGGTTTAAAATGCTAAGTTTTTACACATAGCGAAGTGTCCATATAGTTTGGCATCAAGCGCCTCCAATTCTCTAAAAATATTTAGGCCAAAAGTTAAAGACTATAAGTCACATAAAGGTCCAGACTGGGTCTTTCTTGTGCAACTTTGTGTTCTATTATCTACTAAACTGCCATATAGTGAAGGTGTGATAAACATTTATTGAATAAACGAATGAATACATATTTATTGAATGAATGAATGATAAATGAAATGAGGCATGAGTTCAAGTCTCAATATTCCTTAGCATTTTGGTTAACTCTCTGAGCTTGGCATCTCTACACTGAAGACGGAATAATTCTAATCGTGTTATAGGACTCTATAAGGAGTAAATGAGAGTATGATAAGAAAACATTTGTTTAGAAGAAAAGACATTCAGGGCAGCACCTGTGGCTCAAAAGGGCAGGGCACTGGCCCTATATGCTGGAGGTGGCGGGTTCAAAGCCAGCCCCGGCCAAAATAAATAAATAAAAATAAATAAATGGATAAATAAATAAAAGAAGAAAAGACATTCGAACATTACTATAATGATTATTATTTAAAATAAGTTATATCTTCTGAATCTATTTATTAGAATTTGTAGACTGTATACAACTCAATTCATTGTCTAATTTACATTATTTACAATAAGACAATTTTTTTTTTCCTGCTTCAAAATAACTTTAATGGTAAGACATGTTTTCCTCAAAAAATGTTTCAGGGTTATCCCAATGTTTGAAGCAATCCTGAGAGGTAGCTATTATCCATTTTATGGAAAAACACAGGTACAGTGTCTAGATCTAGCATAACTAAGGCTTTTATGGAAAGAAGCATGTGGTCAGCATGGAAGGGCCGGATAACTCAATTATATCCTGAGTCTTTCACAGAAGATCAGAAAACTCTGAAAAACTTAACTAGCAGTGGGAAGCCTTATCATGTCTTCAAAATAAGCATAGAATTGCCATGAAGTTGGTATGAATTTATGATTTTAATATTTGAGTTTAAAGAATCTAGTGATAAGCTATCAGCCATTCATCCTCAGTGCAGGAGATACAACTGATAAAGCTTAAAATGCTATGTACGGTAACTTTAGTTATGGCCTACATACTCATCTGATCAGAACCTCAACCATCAACATTAATTTGTAAATATTCAAAACACTATTTCAGGCAGTTCTGAGAAATGACAGAAAATGAATAGAAAAAAAGTCTATTTCATGACATTATATATAAAAGTTTCCAAATTGTAAAGTCTAAAAACCTCTTCATTAATCTGAGGGTCTTTTACCTTGGTACACCTGGAATATTGTGTCATGTATTGTGGCTATATAGGTGTTAATTTACCCTTTGAGATAACAAGCTTATTGAGAGTAGAACAATACTGCGGTTAGACCTTACTGGGTGTCATGTGATATATGAATAAAGTTTGCTGCTCAGCCAACTGAAAGTTTAAAGAGTACCTTTTTTTTTTTTTTTGGTATCAATTTTATTAACAGACACGGTGGCCATAAAGTCTAGGTGCAATTTAAAATAATATACTATTTTAAATAAATCAAAAAAATTTAAATAATAAACTTTTAAATTGCACACGAACTTTATGGCTACCCTGTACTTCAAATCACACAATTCACTCATTTTAAATATATAAGTTATGTACTTGTGGAATATTCATAAGAATTGTTCAACTATCATCACAGTCAATTTTAGAACTTTTTTTACACCCTCCAGAGAAACTCCAGGCCCCTTAATCTTTAGCTGTCACAACAATCTCCAACCTACCTACTCCCAGTTAGGTAAACACTAATCTAGTTAGAAACAGTTACCCCTCAGGATTGCTATTTCTATGGATATGCCTATTTGGGACATTTCGTATAAATAGAATCATATCATGTGTTAAAACTTACTGTTGAGACAAAATCAAAAACAGGTTCAAACACGTAAATCCTCTTTTGTTATTTTTGTTTGACATGTCATATCATTTCATAAAAAATGTCCTCTGCCTGTTGTTTATTCAAAAGTACGTCTTGAAAAACAGTAAGATCTACTCTGGTTTTCAAGGACTAAGTGTTTTAGTTATAAACACTGCTCTTCTAGTTTTAAACTTGAAAAATATCTTGCGTTATTATTACTTTCATTTGTGACCACAAAAAGTGCAAACTTTTACTTAGGATTCTTAGATTGAGCATTCCCTTCAATTCCTTCACTGTTGCATCGATGTTTTTTAACTCATTGTGGTGTAGCAGGAGAATGTTCAAGGAAGGCAAGCAGTGCAGACCTAAAGAAAAGAACGTTTTTACAAAATTGTAGACATTTATTTATTTATTTATTTTTGGATTGACAAATAATATTAAACATTTTTAATGACAGTATGCTAAGTAAACAAAGGGAAAGAATATCTTACAACTGGAGAAAGAAGGGATGGTTATTAATAACAATGAGAATTATTGTATTATTAAGAATACAACAAGGCATAAGAATTCAAGTAAGTGATAACACTGTGGGACTCAGAGTCATTTTCTTTCCATAGTTCCTGTTATACTTTTTTCCCATCGCTGTTGATTTTGTTTGCTTGCTTGTTTGTACGATTTTGGAGAAGTTATTTTCTTTTTTCTTTTTGTTTGTTTTTTAGGTACTTCTTTTTTTATTTTTGCATATTTTGGTCAGGGCTGGGTTTGAACCGACCGCGTCTGGTATATGGGGACAGTGCCCTACTCCTTGAGCCACAGGCACCACCCTTGTTAGGTAATTTTTGTCAATGGTACTTAGATTTATAATGCCAATCAAGAGATTAGTCATCCAATTTGCTGCCTTTCTCCAAATTGCACAGCTAAGTATTTTCTTTACATAAAAGAAAGGCAGATATTCATGTCATTTTTGTTGATTCTAAATTGCACATTTTCCCACTTTTTAAACATAAGTGAAAGAGGGTTGTGATAGCCACGACATGGTGTAATTGGCAAAATTTTCTTTCCTGGTGGTGCATAAAATCACAGTGGGTCTTATATTCGGAGTCTATAGTATATGATATTAAAGAAAAGTGTTTTCTACTGTTACCTATTTTTATTTCATGATCATGATATACTGTGTAGTTTTATACCTGGCTTGACATTGTTATCTAAGAGGTTGTTGCACGTATAAAATAAACTCAGAGTAAAAATAGGAATTTGTCTGGTCAAGTTATAGTTAGTAAAAACATTTAAGACTATTTATAATATTTTTATATTTAATAATGCTCTCAGTTATTGTTACAATTTGCTTCCAAAATTCCTGTTAAAAATATTTTACATTTTGAATGACACACGACAATAGTGCATTAGAAATATAATTTTAACAGCAGATTTCTTAAAATGAAATGTATGTAAGAACATTATGAAATAGATTCCATCACGTATTTTCAACAAAAATGTTAAGACAGATTTTTGTAAGTCATTAGCAATTAGCCTAGCTGAAAATATTACTTAAAAATCTAATCAATCAACGAAGCGAATTTAAGACATACCTTCTAGATCAAATATTTCATTGTTGTGTAGATATAGTTCTGACAGGCAATAGTTTTTAGTTAGAAATGTTATTCCATGGAGCTGAAAATGAGAGAGAACAATGCACTTTGTAAAATAATTTTATGTGTGTGTATATATACAAAAATATAATAAGGCCATAGAAGTTTGACCTTTGCAGCTATTATTATAGGTAACCTTTTAGTCTGGCTATAAGTTACATTTGGATTGTCTTTGAGGAGAAGGTGATGAAAAGGATGTTTTAGCTAACTTAAAACAACCTTTCTTACTACATCTCACCCAATTCCCTTGCCTGGCTTTCCAAGCCTCTGTAATTTGCTCTAACAGCATTTCCCCTAATTTTGTTCCTCTGTATTTTCATAGGCCCTGGCTCTATGTGTCGGTTAATCCACTACCTGATATTATTGTGTGCCAAAGGTTCTCTCCCGAGATAACTCCCCAACCATTTCTGCCTCTATGAGAGTCATGAGTTCCCTTTGCCTCCTTTTTTCTCTTCTTGGTGCAGCTCACTCATTCGGAAGGATCAGCCCTAGGCCAGCAAGGGAAACCAACCCTGCATGCGTGGCCCACCACAGTATTTTCCAGAGACTCCATGAAACCATCCTCTGGTCTCCTTGCACTTCATGACTGTCTTCTCCCTTGACCCACTTTTTGTTTCTCTAAAGTTCTACCTATTTCAACACTTTGAGCTGGATTTCTGAAGGATGGTCTATGACTTCTGTCTGTACACATTCGCTAGGTCCTTTCTCTGGCCCACTGTCCTTCTGGTAAACACATCTCCTCAGTTCAGCCAAGGGCTCTGTAATCTGATCAGTTACAGGGGCAGCTCTGTCAGATCCTGCCCGGTGCTTAACTGGCTACAATCTGTAGCTAGAGGACAAGGCCCAGCATAATCCCACTCACTGATCACAGTTCATCATTCTCCACAAAGCATTTTCTGCCAATTCATGGGCTCATGAGCCTTCTTTTTCTTGACCACCCCAACACTTAGCTTGACTTGTACAGTTAATTGCTTGATCACTAGATTTCTGTGTTGTCATTAGGGAAAGGAACCATATTTCTTCACCATCTTATCCCTTCCATCTCTCCACTCTCCTAACAATATGGTCAAGCTGCATCTTGCTTTGAAGATTAGATTCAAAATCAGTGATTATAATTGAAAACAATCTCTCAGTCAATATTATTTGAAATGAATTCTCTTGAAATTCCTCTAATGAACCATTAAGTACTGTATATGTGATACAGGGCATTTGATGCTAAACTGTATCTAAGAAATCTTTCTGTTATCCCGTAAGGAGAACACTACTTTTAAAAATATTGACTCTTCCTTAGAGAAAGTTCTATTCATATTTCTTGCCCAGTGATAGATGAAAGACAGACAAATGGCCAACAAACATAGACAAATGGCCAACAAACATGAACAAATGCTCATCGTCCCTAATCGTGAGAGAAATGCAAATCAAAGCCACCCTGAGATACCATCTAACCCCACTAAGATTAGCCCACATCACAAAGTCCCAAAGCTGTAGATGCTGGTGCAGATGTGGAGAGAAGGGAACACTTTTACACTGTTGGTAGGACTGCAAAAATGAATACAGCCTCTTTGGAAAGAAGCATGAAGAATCTGCAAAGAACTCAAATTAGACATACCATTTGCCCCTGCAATCTCACTACTCACTATTATTTTATCATAAGGACTTTTGCACCTGATTGTTTATTGCAGCTCAATTTATAATTGCCAAGACATGGAAACAACCTAAATGCCCACCAACTCAGGAATGGATTAACAAATTGTGGTGTATATGTACCATGGAATACTATTCAGCAATAAAAAAGATGGTGACTTCACATCTTTTGTAATATCCTGGATGGAGTTGAAACACATTCTTCTTAGTAAAGTATCACTGTTGGAAAAGCAATTATCCAATGTATTCAATACTAATATGAAGATAGTAGATGATCTAATGCTTGCCCAAATAAGAGAAAAACTCATTTCAAATCAGGTTGGAGGGGGTCATAAGGGAAGGGGAAAAAGGAGAGGGGCAGGGTACTCTATTGAATGGGCATGGTGTGGGGGTGTTTGGCACACCTTTTGAGTGTGGGACAAAACCACAACAGGGATTCTACCTAACAAATCAAATATTTTGACCTGCTTATTTGTATTCTCACATTAGCCTGAAGTAAATATACTTTTCAGTTAAAAAAAAATATTGACTCTATGATCTCAAAATTTAACAGATTATTTTGAATTGTGAGGATGAGACATTTTAGAGCCATATGTATGTATGTTCTAAGGACAAAGAGGGAAGTTAAATATTAAAGTGATACCATTGTTATTGAATAGGGTCTAGCAGGGAAGAGATTTTTACAAGATATCATTGATCAAGTGAGTAGTACTCTATATATCAGGGAATAGATATGCTCATGATTGTAAATTTGGGTTTTCTGAAGTTCTTCATAGGAATTGCTATTGTTAGTTAAATAGAAACATTTTGTCCTAATTCAGAAGAACATATAGTGGCCATAAGCAGAGTAGTGGCATTTGTCCATTGATAAATAGGTTTAGATAAATAGCCAAATTGATTTAGGATTTATTGGAAATTGTACTCATTCTCCTCTCATATCTCAGAAAACTAATTCTAGATTTGCCTTTGGAGTTTGAAAACTGATTTTTTGGATAAATTTTTTTCTTTTTTTATACTGGCAATATTCATGAATTAATAAAGCTATAAAGGCTTTTCACTTCATCTCTGCTCCCCTCATCTCTGCCAAATTTTATCAGCACTCCTTCAGAAGGACCAACAATAATTTGACCACAGCTTTCATTTTATGAGAGGAGCCATGTTTCCCCCAGCTGGGAGGAACTATTAAAAGCCGGAAGGTAAGGGTCCCTGTTGGCTTTTTATCCCTTTCTACTTTTCCTACTGGCCTCCTGGCAGCAATTCACTGCTTTCTGTTCTTCCTTTCACCACTCCCTGCTTTAATAATGGCCACATTTGACATCAGTGAAGGAAAAAAAAAAAAACCAGTGAAAATTCTGACTTTGTCTTCTCTCCTTTTTCAGTCACCTGCTGACCACACATTAATCCAATGCTACTAATTTGAGACTTTGATTTCTTTTGCATTACTCATTAAGACAAGAAGAGCACCGATAAACTCAACAGTTTGATCTTCATGATAGAATCACAGTTTTCCCACAAGCATTAATGTTTTGGGGCCATGATTACTGGGATAATAAGACTGTATTGTTTGTTGAGATGAGGGGCTGAGAGGAGATAGACTGGAATGAGTCAAAGCCAGATCATGAAGACCTTGGGAGCTATTAAAATATTTGTTTTAGGGAAATATTATCACCCAGATTGATTTTAGAAAGAAAATGACAGGGGAGAGCTTAGTTTAGGGGGGAATAGTTAAGTCCAATGGCAGGAAATGAATAAGGAGGGTGTTACCCTAATTCAGAAGAACATATAGTGGCCATAAGCAGAGTAGTGGCATTGGGAGAAGAGAGGAGTGAAGGATAATGATAGACAATTCTAAGATAGAATTCACAGGACTTAGTAGACTTTTCAATATAGCAAGTTGTTAAAGTGAGGAACAGGAATTAGAAGACATGCTGATTGCTCTATACTCATGTCATTATTAAAGTAAAATATTATTATAATTATCCATTTAGAAAAATCTATACTTATTCTCAGGATTGCTGTAGGATTTATATTTATTGTGATATTTCACAAATCATATATATATTAGCTCTAGGCTTGGCACATAGCAAGTGCTCAATAAATGGTTATTTATCATTTAACCATTTTTATTAATTTTATAGAGCCAAATGTTCCTGTATTTAATGTAAAGCATTTAACAGGTAATTGCTGAAGTACTAGTGGGGGGAAATGTATATTATCATAAATTTAAATTAAGGAGGCATTCTTTTAGAGCAGGGTTTCTCAGTCTCAATAACTATCAATATATTAGACTAGGTAATTATTTGTATTATTTGGGATTCATTGAGGGGACAAAGACTTAGGATACACTTGATTACATTTGTTACGTAAAGTCCTTCTTATAAAATTGTGTCCCGTCCCCAAGAGGTGTGCCATGTACCATGACCCCCCCTTCCCTACCCCCACCTCATATTAGATCATCTACTGCCTTCATGTTAGAATTGAGTACATTGGATTCTTGCTTCTCCATTCTTGTGATGTTTTACTAAGAAGAATGTATTCCATCTCAGTCCAGATTAATACAAAAGATGTAAAGTCTCCATCTTCTATAATGACTGAATAGTATTCTATGATATACATATACACAGCTTGGACTAGGTAATTTTTTATTGAAATTGGTCGGGTGGGTACTTCCCTGTGCATTGTAACATGCTCAGAAGATTTTCTGGCTTCTATGTACTAGATATTAGTACCACACACATCCTAATTGTGACAATTGAAAATGTGTGGCTGGGTGTGGTGGCTTTTGCCTATAATCCTAGCACTCTGGGAGGCCTAGATTGTCTGAGCTCTGGAGTTTGAGACCAGCCTGAGGGAAAGTGAGAGCCTGTCTCTACTAAAAATAGAAAAATTGCTGGGCATGGTAGTACACACCTATAGTTGCAGGAACTCGGGAGGCTGAGACAAGAGGATTGCTTAAGCCCAAGAGTTTGAGGTTACTGTGAGCTATGACACCACAGTACTCTACCAAGGGCAACAGAATGAAACTCTGTCTCAAAAAAAAAAAAGTCTCTAGAAGACATTGCTAAATTCCCTCTGGAGGGGAGAGTAACCTCAGTAGGGAAATACTGATTTAGGGGCAAGAGAAGTAAGGATATATATTAAGTGCTTATTAGGAACTAGGCATTAAGCTAGATGTTTTCAGAGGTATTATCTAATATGAGCCTTATGAAAGCTTCTTGTTATTTTCTTATTTACTTATTTATTTTTATAGAGATAGTATCTCACTGTGCCACCCAGCCTGAAACTCCTGGGCTCAAGGGATCCTCTCCCAACTCAGCCTCCCAAAGTGCTTGGACTACATGTGTGAGCCACTATGCCTGGCTATTTTTCTTATTTTTT